GTCCAGAGGACCCCAACTCTCCTGCTGTGTCCTCTCGGAGTTCTCCAGGTTCTGGAGTTTCTGACAGCACCTGCCCAGCATGCCCAGGAGGGGCTAAGGCTGCCCAGCTTAGGGTGTGTCTTTCCCTGGATGTGGGATGTTGGGGGAGAGGTTCTGCCTGGAGCTCCCACAGCCCGGAACCACGTGGCACCAGCCTCGTCTGCCCCCTTTCCTCCCAGTGGCACTGAGGTTTACAGAAGGACGATGAGGCCATCAGGGAGAGTTGGCCTGTCTCCCAAGTCTGGCATGGAGCCGGCCGGCAGGGCACGGAGCTTGGCAGGCTCCACACGCTTGGGTGGACAGAGCCTCGGGGAGCCTCGGCCCAGCTGGTGCCCCTGGCCCACCTTGCAGAAGCCTCCATACCATAGGGCCTTGCCCCTCCTGCACCCCCTACTCACAGAAGCACTGGGGTCTCATGGGCGTCCAATGCGGACGCCGGGGCCACAGAGGACTACACACCACTAGAGGGCAGAGCTGGGCAGCCTCACCTGGATGCCACACTGTTCCCCTCATCCACACAGCTCTTGGGGACTCCTGCTGTGCTGTGCCAGGAAGTGGATAGGGACATGGAGGCCTGCAGCCGGGGAAGGTTTAACAGCACAGTGGGGTGTGTATCTCCTTCTGGTGGAGAGTGGAGACTCAAGCAGGTTCCTGTCCTGATGGACACGTGTCTATCAAGCACAGGGTGGTTAGCAGGTACCAGGTGACCGGGGCTCAGGGATCTTGAGAAGATGCGAATTTTCTGAGGAGGAGGTACCTGGACATGGCCAGGCTGCAAAGCCTGTAGGCCAAAGCCTCCCTGCTGGCAGGCTCTGCTGGGCCATCTGCCACTGTTGCTGGGCCAGTGCCACCTGGCCGAGGCCTGGCCATTTGGTCTTGGCAGAGCCGCTGTGGTTCGGTCCACTTGAGTGCAGGGCACTTGTATATGTGCATGGCCACAGGAGCCAGTGTGTGTCGCTGTGTCTCAGAGGCCACAGAGTTGGTGGTCTAGTGGGGCCCATTGTGGACCTGGGCTCTTCTTGGCTGTTGGCCAGGTCACCTCCCACCCTAGACTTAAAGTCACCTGCAGAGGACATTGGGTCACACAGCTGCCTGTGTCTAGGCCTGCCACTGCGGGTGCCACATGGACACCTTTGAGGCTCCAAACACTCTCTGCCAGCCTGCTTCTTGGAGACAGTCCCTAAAGGACAAGTCGGGGGGGTCTTTGCATCCGTGGCCAGGAGGTGTGACCCTCGGCAGCTGGTCAGTGTGCCAGGCCTTAGCTTGCTGCCTGGAAGGCACAGCCGTGGGGGCTGTCAGCAGCCATGCCCCTAGCAGGGTTCTGGGACGCAGGACAGGGTGGTGACCCTGAACCCAGAGTTCAGCTCTGCAGAAGGATCCTGGGACTTCGCCTTCGCGCCGTGGTGTCTCCCCTTAGCTGTTCAGTTAAAGCGACTTATTTCAGTAGGCCAAAATAGCACTGCTCTGCGCGTGCTCCCGTTGCCATGGCGACGTGGTTCTGACTCCGCCTACTAAGCCTCCACACGTTTTAATAATCCGAGGCCCAAGGGAGGAGCCGCGGACTACTGGCCGCGGGGGACAGAACCGTGGACTACTATCCTCAGGGACAGAACACCCTCTCCACAACACACCCAGCCCAGAGGAGACAGGGGACCCTGCCAGGCGCCCCCATCTCCCGAGCTACGCAAGCCTGAGCCTGGCCCCCTAGGGAGGTGGCATCGGACGTTGCGTGTCCTCCTAGGGGAGACTCGTGGCGGTGCCTCGGCCCAGGCTGTGTGGCGGGGCTGCTTCCTGGTCAAGTTTGGTGGCACCGCAGCCCCAGCCCGTCCCTCGGCCTCCCCCGGGAGTGGACAAAACAACCCGACCTTCTCCCCGCTCTCCTGCCCCGGTGGGGCGAGCCCGCCTCGCCCAGCCTCCCGGTCCCCGCCCACTCCACGGGCGCGCACGAGGGGGCGCACACGGACACGCAGGCTGTGTTATCTGGTCAAGTCCGCGGATTTTAACCAGGACGGGTAGCAATAGGCACCGTTCGGGAGACGCGGGCCCCCGCCTGCTGCTCTGGCCTCGGGGAGCAGGTGCACCCGGGCCGTTGTGGAGCTGGGTCCGCTCCGGGGAAGGGCGCTCCCCGAAAGCCGGCCCGGGCCCTCGAGCTGCCCCCTTGCTTCCTCGCCGGGAGCTCCCGCGCCCCCTCCCGGGCACGCGCGGCACCGCAGCGCCATGGGGACTCCGCCGGCAGCGGGGACCAGGCTGGGTCACCACGCCGGGTGGGGCACGCACGGCCCTGATCAGAGGCGGGACAGACTGCCTGGACAGAAACGTGCGCACGACAGACACACACCTCTGTGCTGGTGCTGGTTTTCCATTCCCATCGCACTGACCTGGCCCGGTTGTGGCTCTCTCACCGCCTCCCCTCTACTCCCCCGATTGCCTTGGCTTTCTCTGACCTTCCTGCTCCCAACCTCAGGGTCTTTGCACAGCCACCTCTTCTCTCCTGGGACTGCTTCTCCCTTTGCCAGCAGAGCTTCCACCCCAGGACGTGTCTCCACCAGCAAGCAGGGGCCACGACAAAGACAGGAAGCATCTGCTTCCCGATCCACCCTCAGCTGAGCGCCAACCACCTGTCAGCGCCCGTTCTGGGCCCTTCCTGAGGCCAGCAGGGCCTCCCAGGGTCAGCCTCACACCTGGGAGGCCTGGAGAGAAGGGTGTCCCCAGCCCAAAGGCTAGGCCAGGGAACCCTCCCTTGGGGAAGTGAGTCAGGAGAGTTTAAACTGAGGCTCTGATGCCATTGACAAAGAATATCAAGATAAACCTGGCGCCTCCCTCTTTGTGCCCCACCCTGCCTGGGGGCACCTGCTACTCTGATCAGATCCTTGTGGGCAGGGCCCCTCCTCAGCCCACTTGCCTGGGCGTAGCCACAAGGCCAGCCTAAGCTATGGGGTCCCCAGACTGGAAGGGTGGTGGAGGCCTGGGCACCCTGCTAGGGGAAAGCTACACAAACCAGGACCAACCTAGAGCTCAAGAAGCCCATGTTACCTTTGTAACCTGCTATTTCTTCACTTTGGAAATAATCCACTGTGATTACGGAAGTCTGTGGTATCTGCAAAACACGGGAAGGGCAGAGGCCACCTGGAGGTGGAAGGACCTGCCCACAGCCCTACCCAGGAGTCTCCCGAGGTCAGCCAGTTCGCACCAAAACTCATTTCCGTGGCTGCCTGGTCCCTCTGTGCGTCTGGTCCGATGGGTCACTCCTTGCCCTACTCACTCTGAGAGTCCTTGAAACCTGCCACTGTGCAAGACTGTGACTGCCAGGTGGCCAGACAGTGACAGGGAGAAGTGGACAGTGACCTGAGGCCCAGGAGCCCTGTATCTGCTCCTCCATTCTAGGTTACTGGAAAGGTCATAGAGATCCAGCAGGACCCTGCCTGACAGGGAGTGACTGGTGAATTTGCAAACAACACTTGTGCCTGTCACTAGACGACAGAGATGTCACCGCAGGGTGCTTCACTCCCTCAGGACTGTGCCCTCTGCTCTCCCAGCACTGGGAATTTCCAGGTGCCCAGCCCTGTGTGTCTGGAGGTAGAGTAAGGCCAGGATAGAGCTCTGTGTCCCGGCCCTGTCCATGTCAGGTGCAAAACCCTGAGGCTTCCACCCTCCTGGCTTGGTGTAGAATGGGAGGGACCCTTGGCCCTGTGCCCTTAGGACCTCACGGAGGCCTCCTGGGCAGGTGCCCTCTTCCTCCACAACCACTGAAGAAAACCATGCCGCATCCCAGAGCCCAACTAGGGCCTGTTCCCCTGCCCTCACCAGGAATGGGGGGCAGGGATGACCCCACATAGCTTCCAGAAAGCAAGGACCCATGAGAGATCCCCTTTTCTAACCCCCTGGCTAGAAAGGGTTCCTGGCTGGGGTTCAGTTGCTTGTCCATCGGGGCCTTGGGTGGGGCAGGTCCAAGAAGCGGTGTTCAGTGGACATGGGGAAACAGTTGCTGGCCCCTCCGACCTCTCCAGATCACACCACCCAGGAGGAAGTTCCAGGGATGCAGAGGCCCCTCTCCTCAGGAAGGCTTGTGCCCACCAAAGTGCCCTTCCCAGTCCTCAGGAAGGTCCAAGGCCAGGTGCAAGAGTGGACTCCTGATGGCTGGGGAAGAAGGCCATAGCAAGCATAAGGGAAGTCGAGCCGGCAGCTGGCAGGACCCATCTCGGCGTCAGCCAGGCTGCTGGATGTGCATGATCGGATCCTTCAGTGGGTGAAGTCAGCTATCAACAGGTGTGCCACACCGTCTGCCTCCAGAGACAGCACCAAATCCGGATCTTGTCCACTCAGCCCCCCCAGGGCCACCTCCAATATCACCAAGAAGGCACCAGCAGAATCTGTGGCATGAAAGCAAAAGGCTGAGAAGTCTCCATGACGTACAGAATCTGGAGCGGAGGCACAGTGCAGAATCTGGAGCGGAGGCACAGAGTAGCCAACTCCTCCCCGCCTGGGATCTGAGGTGCGCAGAGACAGGTTGGGGATTGGCCCTCGCCAAGACCCTGGTCCGCTGTCCTAAACCAGAGCCCGGGACCCACGGTCGCTGTAACCGCCCAGCGCGTCAGCCCGGACGGCGTTTTCACTTGGCAGACCTGGGGCGTGCACCTAATACCACGGGCTCGCGCTCCCTAGCGGGCCCCCTAGCAGTCCCGTCGCCAGGCAGAGCCCCGCCGCGCGCGCTCCCATTGGTAGCAAGTAGCCCCGCCCCATCCGACAGGTAATCCGCCCCGCGCTCCCATTGGGCAGTAGCCGCCGGCGCCCCGGGGATTGGCCAGGTGGAGCCACACCTCTCTCTCATTGGCCACAGGTGCCGCGCCCCTGGCACACCGCCCGCCCACGATTGGCAACCCCGCGCGCCTCCGCGCCGCACGCTCCCGCCCGAGTCCCGCGGAGTCGCGCGGCCGGCGCCGTCGGGTCCGCGCGCGCGCTCCTTCCGCGTTCCGCGCCGCCCCGCCCGGCCGCCCGGCCGCGCCATGGCCCGCGCGCTCGGGGCGCGGCGCTGAGGGGCGCCATGCCCGGCAGGATAGGGCCCAAGATGGACGGGCGCGACGGCCGCGTCCGCCTCAAGGCGCACTTCGGCGGGTGAGCGCGAGCGGCGGGCGGCGGGCGGGCGCGCGCGTGGGGTCGGGGCGGCGGCGCGGACCGACGGGGAAAGTTGGTCTCTCAGGAAAGTTGGCGCGGACGCGAAGGTCTCAGACCTGCGCGAATGAAAAGTTACGGCGGACTGGGAAAACTTAGGCGACTTTTCCTGCGCTGGGGACGGGACCAGGGCGCTGCGCCCCTGAGCTGCAGCGCAGCCCCCGGGCTTTTTGTTACTTTGAGACCTGGCGTTTGCCAAGTGACTTTGGGATCCTCCTGCCTCAGCCTCCCTAGCAGCTGGATTATAGGCGTGTGCGACCGCGCCGGGCCCGTGTTTGAAGATCGGGGTCATCTACGCTGACCTTGGATTTAAGACGCCTCCTTTGAGGAAAGCCTGGGACCCGGGCGAAAGCCGCGCGCGCGCGTGACGGGGCGGTGTGGACCACGGGCGGCTGCGCTGGGCGGGACTCGGAAACACCGGCTCGCTGGAGCCGGCGCCGCGCATCGGGCGGGCACTTCGCGGGTTGCTGCGGGGGGCAGGGGTGGAGCCGGTCCCTGAAGCGGCCCCGCGGGGTGTACGCCTGGGGATGGGCGCTCCGGAGACCTGGTGCTCCAGGGATCGCGGGGAGCGGGGAAGGGAGAACAGAGGCTCCTAGCTTTCCTTGGGGCAAGGACAAGTCACCGAGGGGCCCGGGCGCCCCGACGGCCGATGCCTTCTGACTCCAAGAGGGCAGGTGACCCCCAGGCGAACGTCTTTTGGCGCCTGGCGTCAGGCCGGCAGCTGCTGGGCCACGGGCTTTGCCCTGGGAACTTGGCCGGGTTTTCCTTGAGACATTTTGGAGTTCCAGTCCCTGCCTCTGTGGCTGCTGGGGTCCTCGGGGTGCGGGTGGTGACACGGCCAGAAGGAAGAGGAGGACGCGGCCAGCAGTCCCTCCTGCAGCCGGGAAGGCGGCCAGCGCGGCGTCATCGGACGCTGGAGCAGCCTGGCTGGTGGTCGGTGTGTAGCAACCGTCAACATCGCCAGACGCCGCCCCTTCCCAGCCTGGGACGGCCAAACTGTGGAAGTCACAGGGATCCCACTGCCAGGGCCTCTGGGGTGGGTGCGAGGGGCTGCCTGGCTCCTGCCTGGGGCTATGTACCCTCCCGCCCCTGGGAGCGCTTTGGTTACCGCGGTGTAATTCAACCTGTGGACTCCAGTTCCCCAAGCCCAGGAGGTGGAGTCGCCACCCTCCGGCCCTTCCCGGCGCCTCCTACCAGCCCTCCTTCCTCTTCCACTCTTCCCCTTCGCTGGCCTTCCCGCTCTTCCCTCCCTCTCCTCCTCCCCGCTGCCCCTCCCCAGCCTCCCCCTCCCGGGACACCCCTCCCTTTCCATCCCTCCCCACACAGCTGTGGATCACCTTCCAGGGACTGGAACCAAGGCAGTGCTGTGGGGAAGCGTTCCGCCTCGGAATGGAAGCTATGAGTCTGGGCAACCTTCTGTCCAGGGGTCTGGTGGTCTTGGGGTCCTTCCTGAGTTGGGAAAGAATGATGCACCCTTTCCTGTCCCCCAGATCCCCAGACTTGAGTCAGTGACCTCCTCCCACAGATGTCCAGCTGCTGGCCTGGCCTCCAGCTGAGGGACTAGGGAGAGTAGGAAGAAGTCAAAGGTGAAGGGTGCAGGCCCTGACCTTGGAGGTCCTGGGGTCAGGGCTGGCACATGCTAGGCAGGGCTGGCGCTGGGTCTGAGTGGCCCTAGTGGCCAGGCATGGGTGGGGGGGAGTGTGGCCGTGAGCCTGTCTGGCATGCGTCGGTTTCTTCATTGGCCATGCAGGCTATGGGGGCACAGGGTTAGTCCCTGTGGAGAGCAAGGGCTCTGGGGCAGGTGCTGCGTGACACTGGGGTAGGACGGGGTGGTGGGTGAGTTACACTCACCTCGCGGTGACCGTGCGAAGGGAATGTGGCCTGGCCAGGCTCAGCGTGCCCTGCCTGGAGTCCTGGGTCCCAGTCGCTCTGATTTATTGCCTTGGAACAGAGGTTCTGGGCATAAAAACTCCTGGTGGTGAGCCCAAGCTGCACCTCACTCCTGTTGTTTGGGGTGTTCAGGAGGGGCTCGTGCTGCAGTTCTGATGAGTTGGGGAGTATTGGGATGAAAAGAGTCATACCCCTTCCCTGATGGGGGACACAGGCAATGTTGGGTTCCCTCTGCCAGGTGATGGATGCCCTCCATGGGCTGCTGGGACTTAGTGTCTCCCAACAGCCAGGCTCTGATTCCATTATGAGATGAAAAGATAAAGGTGGTGGCAGTCGACATGGCTTCCAAAAAAAGTTCTGGGATTGTGTCACAACTGAGACACTGGGGTCCTGCAGGTCACTCCTCCAAGGGCTTAAAGACGCTGCCTCTGAGCCAGGCATGGAGACTCACTGGTAACCCTAGGCCCTGAGAGACTGAGGCAGGAGGATTGCAGGTTCAGCCACAGACTGAGAAACTTAGGGAGGCCCTGTCCCAAGAAAATAGAAGAGAAGAGAAGAAGTGGCTGGGGTGTAATTCTTGGGTTGACATCAATAGGCTCATGTCCACACTTGGGCTGCCTTCATGAGAACAGGGCATAGGGGCGCCATCCAGTGCACCCTCCCTGCTCGTGGCTGGAGTTGGATGTGGGTCTCTACTGTGGTGACAGCTCATGTTTGTGGGGGCAGCTGTCCTGTTGTCTTTGAGAAACTTTTTCATTTTTCTGGCCGATCACTTGGTCAGTTGGAAGCCAGTGCGTGGCCTGACCTGGTGTGACTCTGGTGACAGTGCCACATCCTCTTTGCTGCAGGGACATCCTGATCACCAGCGTGGATGCCACGATGACCTTCCACGAGCTCTGCGAAGAAGTGCGGGACATGTGTGGTCTGCACTCACACCACCCGCTCACCCTCAAGTGGGTGGACAGTGAAGGTAGCCCCGTTCTCCCTCTACCACACTGCTCGGGTGTTGGGCCTCTGGCTGGGGCGATAGGGCTGCTTTCCCGGAGGGTGGCAGGGAGGAGATGGGGCTGGGCTCGGATGGAGACCTGGGAGAGCAGGGACATGAGGTGACCCTCGGGTGGCCTTGAGTGCATGAGAGGTGGCCAGGCCCGCATGGGCAGGTCCTTACCCACCCTGCCCCTCTCAGGTGCCGGGATTCCCTGGGAGGTCCTTTCAGAAGGGTGAGCTCTCCACATCTGTAGGACCGTGGCCTCTAAGCACAGCTGGGCCCACAGCATCCGTCTGACTCTCCCTGCTCCTCCCTGGCATCTCTGGTCTCTGTTTCTTTGTCTCTGTTTTGCAACATCTGTTTCCTTCCCTCTCTCCCTTGCTTCTCCTCAACCCCAGACACATGTCCAAAAAACGGTCCCACATGGCAGATGGACGTAATTGTCCTGGCCCGGAGGGCAGGAGCCTCTCACCTGATCTGGGCTGACCCAGGGGGCTCGGTCCTGCTGGCTGTTCTGCTCCCTGGGCCCCTCAGGGCTGCAGGTGACCAGGCTCCCTGTGAGGACTGGCTGGCCCTCCTGTGGGGGTTCTGACCTGGCCACTGGCTAGCCTCAGGGGTGCGCGCCGGGGTGGCCAATCATAGGCAGTGACACTGCTCACCGCAGCTGAATGCACAGCCCAAGCTGCCTGGCCCCTCTGCCCTGGCTGCAGTGGCCTCAATGTGCCCCTTGCCTTGCCCAGGTGACCCTTGCACTGTGTCCTCCCAAATGGAGCTGGAGGAGGCCTTCCGCCTGACGTGTCGGCACAGGGACGAGGGGCTCATCATCCACGGTGAGTGGCTGCTTGCCTGTTCTCCATGTGGGCGCTCGGGGAGAAGGGGGCCTGGCATGAGTGGGCAGGGTGAGAGCTCCCGGCTGCCTGCTATTTTCTGTTTTGGTGCCGAGGGTGGAAGCTCAACCTTCTAAACCACAGCCATTGAGCCCTGGAGGACTGTCAGGTGTGGACATTCAGTTTTGGGCCTAAGGCCAGTGCTGTCTGGTCCCACAGGCATCCCAGGCACATGGTGTGGTTAGCAGCCTCACGAGTGCACTGCTGGTTCCCTGGGCCAGAAGCCAGGTGTGGAATCTGGGTAGTTGGTTAAAATACTCACCTGTTCAGCCCTTACGTAAATCTAGACTCAGACCCTCCAAGGCTGCTTATTTATGATGAGAAGATGCATTTACTTGGCCTCCTGTGCACAGATTTGGGTACCTTAAAACCTCATATGTAAGAAAATACTTGTTTTAACCAAGTTATAATCTTTTCTATGCCTCTGTTTGAGCCATCTGTGGAGGTCCAGTACATATCTTAAAATCGTGGCCCCTGTTACCCATAGGGAGATAGTCCACTGTCCGGTCTCCAAGGTGCTCCCAGCCCCTTCCCATATTAATGCCAGTGAGGTCAGTAGTTGTAATCTGGCAGTCTCACCATCTTGACACCCTGCCTGCCTTCTCCCCATCCAGAATGGTTTAGCAGCAGAACAGGCTTTGTGCTGAGAAATCTCCCCAGGGGAAACCCCCATGGGTACCATGCCGAGTGCTTTGTGTGGAAGGACATCTGGTCCACCCAGGGCAGGGCAGGGCTTTAGGAGGACAGAGTGAGGGACAGACTGAGTGGACACTAATACTCTGGCTTCCCTTCTTCCTGCCCAGTTTTCCCAAGCATCCCCGAGCAGCCCGGCATGCCTTGCCCCGGAGAAGACAGTGAGTGCTGCGCTTGGTTTTCCTCACCTGAGTCCGTGTGCTGGGTGAAGTGTTGATCTGTTGTGCAGAATTGGGGCAGGCGGGTACTTTTTTGGATGGTGGGCCAAGAATGGTTCCCTCCTAGCAAGTCGGAGGTCACCACAGCCAGCCCTTATGATCACAAGTGGGGTTTTCACGGTGGGTGGTGTCCTCAGCCATTTCCTCCATGTGGGGTCTGGGTGGGGTGGGATGGCTGGTCATTTAGCAACAGGAGGAACACGCTAAGGGTGGAGGCCCGAGCAGGGTGGCATCGCTGCACCTGTACCAGCCTCTGCCCTCCTCCCAGCCTGCACTGGGCCCTCTATTCTCTGGGTGGAGATGTGGTTAGCAGGGCCTGGGCTGACAGGCTCCGTCACCAAGGCCAGCAGGCGAGATGAACTGGAGGCCTCATGGGTGCGTGACTCTGGCCCCAGGGTGTGGGGAAGAGGACAGCGGTACAGTGGACGTATGGGGACCTGGAGAGACTGGGGGGGGCAGCGCCCGAGACTCGGAGTCTGCCTCTGAGCCTGTGGCCTTGGAGCAGGTGGCTGGCACGAGCCGTTGGGGATCTCCTCCCGTGGGGTCTCTGGTGCTGAGGCTCTTGTGGTGTGGTGCCTGCATCCCCTGGGGGGATGTCTGTATGGGGAGGGACAGTGAGTCCGACCTGGGTGCTGCACCCCGCAGCCTTCAGGGTTCAGGGCATCGGGGGCCCCGCTGTGTCTGCCGCCAGCTGGAGGAGTTGTTTTCGCAGCACTGGGGGTTGAACCCAGGACATTTGCAGTGAGTTATATCCTGGCCACTCTGAGATGGAGTCACATTAAACTGCTCCGCTTCCCTTGGAATTTACAGTTCTCCTGCCTCAGCCTCCAGAGTGCTGGGATTACTGGTATTTAGCACAATCCCACTGCCACCTGGATGACTTTTGACCCAGGTGACAGGACTGTGTTTGTTTGTCGGCCCCACCCTGGGCGCAGGGGAAGCCTGGGGGTTTGTGGCTCTGTGAGTGCTAACACTGACCACACCCTGTGTGGAGGTGTAGAGTAGGGAGGCAGTGGCTGGATGGGGCTGGAGTGGACTTAGGGTGTCAGGGCCAGGTCCCTGCTAGGCCTGAGGGCAGAGTGGAGTGTGACAGAGAATGCAGAGCATGTGGTGCTGAGCCAGGGCAGGGCCGTCCCTTACCTGAGGGTCCTCCAGATGAGAGGTGGGCAGGTTGCCCAGCTCTGTGACACTGGCATCTCCTGGAACTTCCTGGAGGGCCTGTGTATAGCAGGTGTTTCTTGGCCTTTGGGTGCCAGGAGTTGGAGTCTCCAGGCTCTGCACCTCCAGCAGGTGCCTGGAGTCACCCTGAACTGGGGAGCAAAACCTGCTGTGGTGACCAGGGGACAGGTCACCATGTCATTGTGGTGCCTGGCGGGTGTTTGTTTGTGTTTTGTTGAGGGTCAGTGACCAGGCCAGACTGGCAGGAAGTGGGCAGCAGGGCCCCATGGAGAGGACAGTCGGACGGGGTGGCCTCAGCAGCTGTGAGCGCCCTCTGGATTCAGCTGGTCGCAGTTTCTCCCCCCTTGTCACCTGCCTTCCAGTGTCCTGTGTCAGGGCTCCCTGTGTGGGCCCAGGCTGTCACTCCTGGCACTCAGGACCCCCGTGTTTGGTTTTCAGCTGCAAAGTGCACTTTACACTGGCTGTAGCACACCCAGAGCAAAGCGCTCATTGGGGTGCAGCACCCATATATTGCTTGGCCACTGCCCCTCTGCCCAGGGCCCAGACGCTCCCTCAAGGTGACCCTGTGCCCTTGGGCAGATGCTCCGCCCTCAGCCTGTACCTTGAGCCCCACCACGCCGCACCTGCCTGTTGGTGTTCGCTGGCGTTTGCAGCACTCAGCAGTCACATTTTATCCTGGGGAGAGATATCATATGATATTTAGGTTTGTATATTTGATTGCCTTTTTTTTTTTGTCATTTTGGGACAGGGTCTCCCTATGTGCAGTTCAGGCTAATTTTGAGCTCACTTTGTAACCCAGGCTGATCCCGAACTTGCAACAATCCTCCTGCCTCAGGCTCCTGAGTGCTGGGATTATGACTGGCTTGATTTATTTCACTTAACATGATGATCTCAGTGGCCATCTATTTACCTATAAATGACTGAGTTTACTCTGATAGCAGAGTGCTTCTCCATTGCGTGTAAGTCCAGATGTTCCCTGCATGTTTAGCAGCTATTCAGGTTTATGACAGAGGTGTACTGTGGACTCAAGGCCTGTATTTTTTTTAATATTTTGTTTATAGAGACTCAGTGTCTGTCTTTGGTATGGCACCCGGTCATTACCTGGTGCTATGAGTTCTGCTGATTGTTTTGTTCAGTACAGTGCTGTAGGTTTTTATTCTGTTATACATTATGGCACTACATGTAAGAGTCCCATAAATAAAGCCAGGTGTGGTAGTACACACCTATAATCCCAGCACTCGGGAAGCTGAGGCAGGAGGATTGCCGTGAGTTTGAGGCCAGCCTGAACTGCATAGAGACCCTGTAACAAAGTCATCAAGTTAGAGTTTCCCTTGACCGTGACTTTGTTGTGATTGTTGTCATGTAATACTATATACAATTCCTGTGACCAATTCATTTAACAACCGGGTCGCAGGCACGTGGCTTAGGTCTGTAACACATTTTCTTTATCCATGTCTGCTGATGGGCGTATAGGCTGTTTCCAGGATTTAGCTGTTGTGAATTGTGTTGGTATTTTTGATGTATCACAGGGACCAGCTGTTTCCAGGAGACAGTGCCAACAGGAAAGGTAACAGGAACTATTACCTGGACAACTACCAGAGTGCTGGGGGCGTTTTCTGCTACAATTATCGTGGGTGTGTGTGTGTGTGTGTATCTCTAACATGGCACCTGCAGCAATTTCAGGAAGAGCCCTAGGAGGCGAGTACCTTGGTTGAATGCGGTTTCTGCTTTTAATTTAATTTAATTTTTTTTTGATATGGAGTCTCGCTATGCAGTTCAGACTGGCCTTGAGCTCGCTTTGTAGCCCAGGCTGGCCTCAAACTCGCACCGATCCTCCTGCCTCAGCCTCCCGAGTGCTGGGATTACAGGTGTGAGCCACCATGCCTGGCTTCTGCTTTTAATTTTAAAGGAATCTTCATACTGATTTCCGTGGTGGTTGTACAAGTGTACAAATTCCTTTTGACAATGTAGAAGGTTCCTTTTTTCCTATAGCTTTGCCAGCATTTGTTATTATCAGATTTTTTTGTTTTGTTGATTTTTGGGAACTGTTTTTTTTTTTTGGGGGGGGGGGGAGGAATTGAACTCAAGACCTTGCGCTTACCAGGCAGGCTCTGTGCCACTGAGCTAAATCCCCAGCCCTGTTTGTTTTTTTGAGAGTCTCACTGCATAGTTTGAGCAGGTATTGGACTCACTCAAGTGCTGGGATTACAGGCCTGTACTACCAGGCCTGCCTGGCATTATTTTGATTTCTTGGTGACGGTGGTGGTTCTTTCTAGAGTAAGATGGTATCTCGGTGGTGTTGTACTTTGAACGTCTCTAATTGCTACAGCATTGGACAGTTTTCTATGTATGTATTGGCCATCTGTGCTTCTGGGAAGCATCTGTTCCTTGCAGTTGCCCATTTTTTGATTGGGTCTTTTACTTAGGGCCTTGTATTTATTGGATTTGATTTGATTTTTTAGTTCTTTATATATTCTTGGTATTAATCCTGTGTCTGAGCAATAGGTGGCAATTTTTTTCCCACTCTGAAGGTTGTCTCTTCACTTTTTGGAGGTTTCCTTTGCTGTACAGAAGCTTTTTAATTTGATGTGATACCATTTGTTGATTCTTGTGCCATTGGAATTCTTTCCAGAAATTTCTTGCCTATGCCTGTGTCTTTGAGAGTTTTACCTATTTTATTTCCAATAGATGATGTGTTTCTGTTTTAACACTTAGATTTTTAATCCATTTTGGATTTAGGTTAGTATTGTTTTAGTTATTTTTCTCCATGTTGAAACAAAATACCTGAGGCCCAAAGTTAGGGAAAAGTGGTTTACTGGCTCACAGTTTGCAGAGGTCTCAGTCTGTAGTTGCCTGGCTCCAAGGCAGGGTGGCATGGACAGAGGGACACTGCAGAGGGGGACAGTCCATGGCAGAGCATGGCTAGCAGTAAACAACAACCCAGGACAAGCCACCAGCAGAGACCCTCTTTCTGCCCCTTACGTCTTACCTAGGCTGCGAGCTGCCAGGGCAGGTAGCACTCACGCCAGAGACGGGGCACCCTTAATCCTAGCCAGACCAATCAGTGGACTAATTTAGTAATTTGCACACCCTTGATCCCAGCATCACACATTCTAGATCCAGCCACCTCTGAAAAGCCTCACCTGTGACTGCCTGAGGCTTTGGGGAGATATCTGGAAAATGAGCCGTAGCTGGGGATTTAGCTCAGTGGCATAAGTGCCTGCCTAGTGAGCACAAGGTTGTGAGTTTGATCGCTGGTACAAAAAAGAAAAAGAAAATGAGCGTACAAACAGGTGGTGAGGTATTTGGATCTAGACTCAGTCTTCAGACCTTGTGCTTGCCTGGCAGGCATCTATGCAACTGAGCTAAATCCCCAGCCCTCCAGCACCATTTATTAAAGAGGCTGTCTTTCCTCCAGTGTATGTTTTTGGGTCCTTTTGGGTCAAAGATCAAATAGTTTAATGTATCTGGGGTTGTTTCTGCTTGCTCTGTGCTGTTTATTATTATTATTATTATGTCCCATTGATCCACATTTCTGTTTTGTGCCAGAAAGAGGCTATTTTTTTAATCACTGTAGCTTTGTATATAACTTTAGATCTGGGATAGTGATGCCTCCTGCTTTGAAATTGTTACCTAGAATTGCCTTTGCTGTTTTGGGTGATTCTGGTTCCCTGAGAATTTTTTGGGTTGTTTTCTCTAGCTCTGTGAGGAATGCTGTTGGTATGTGGACTGGCATTGTGTCAAATCTCCGTATCAGTTTTGGG